GAGAGAGAGAGAGAGAGAGAGAGAGAGAGAGAGAGAGAGAGAGAGAGAGAGAGAGAGAGAGAGAGAGAGAGAGAGAGAGAGAGTGCACACGGAAAGGGTACACAGTGGTGGAGATGGTGCGGGACGGGAAGGTGAAGAGAGACTGTAATTGCTTGACAGAGCTTTGCAACTTACAAGAGAATACCATGCAGGAGGTGTGAGGGGCTAAAAAGGGCTGCAGTGTTCTGAATCTACTTACCCTGGAGGCTTCTGCCATGCTCTCACTTGAGGTGATCATCATCTGGAGACGAATTGTCTCCAGCGGTGCAGTAAATGTTCTGGATAAGGCACCAGCTAGTCCACCAGCCAGCAGGTGACTTAACGCACTCCCCTTCTCCAGGGGGGAGCTTTTATAAGCCCCCAGAAGTACAGCATTGTCTCCCACCCCCTGAAAATTGGACCCTACATCTACTGCACCTCTGAAGCAAGACGCATCCACCCAATAATTCAACAAATACTCCGACGTTGGCAGAAGTGTGAAGAACCTCCGGAATTCCTGCAATCGCACGTAGACAATGGTAACAAAAACGATCAGTTCCTGATCTCCATTTAACTTTGAAAGAGCAATGTAATCGGACATTAGTCAATTCAACAGGATAGAACAAGGGGGCGAAAAAACAGAAAAAGGAACACGCAGTGGGTTCCGTAAAATGACCGCTTCTGTTAGCACCCTTGTCCACCCTACCCCGGAAACCACCTCCCCACAGTCCAAAAAAAGAAAGAAAAAATGTTAGCGGGAAGTTTACCCAGACGTGGTGTTTGTAGTTTGGAGTGTTTGGCGTGTTTGGCGTGTTTGGAGTGTGTGGAGTGTGTGGAGTGAGTGTGTGGAGCCAAAGAAGTGGTTTAGGGAGAACTCGCACTTTCCAGTACGGCTGCCTTAAAAACCAGAATCTGCTCAGTTGAAGATTTACAATACGGTTAGTGCTGTCGGAACTAGAACAGGACGATATGTCCTTCAGGACATCCGTAAAAATTGGAACGATACAGAGAAAATTAGCGTGGCCCCTGTGCAAGGATGGCCCACAACTTTTCCCTCTTGTTTCATTTTTCTCTAGCTAGCGATCATACGACTGTTGATTTTATCCGTCATGATTACTTTCGCTTCGAGAAAAATTGAGAGAGAGATTATCAAAAGCTCCATAAAATAAGAAGAGAATGGTTTGTAGTTCACTAGAACAATTTGGTATTATTCCATTGATCCTGAGTTCGAACTCCACTCTAGCAAATGAGTAAAATACTACGATTCTGAATTACCTGGGGCCGTTCGATTCGATGATCATATCTCAATGCCGTCGCCCTTTATAAAAAGAAAGAATGAGAAGGAAAACGTAATAGAGAAGAACTCCTCACTACCAACATGCTGGTTGGAGTGAAGAGCACAGACTCTTTGAGAGGAGAACGAACAGGTTATCTGTTCAGAATCTTGTTGGATGCCAGAGCGCTGAGGGGATGCACTAGGACTCCTTCAACTGATTTCTAGACACTATCGCTGTCAGATGCATCATCTTCGGATGTAACTGAGGCCAGGTACATCTAAGAAAGTCCTAGGGTGAGTATGTTCTAAGAGTAGATTGTGCGCCCAGTGTAACCCAAGAACGAAACAGAAAAAGGATAGAAGAACAAAAAAGAAAAATTAGAAAATGAAACAGTAGCAGCACCAAGTAAGATGCCATATATGATACTCACGGGAGGAGTTTACTGGATTTATCTGACTGCAATTACATCACAACCTGAATGCATCAGACCGCCAATTGCATCCAGAAACTAGGGCCTCGTTAGACACTCCTCAGGGATGCGATTCCAAGGATTTCGCCGTCGTTCCTCCTGTCCTCGGATTCCCCAGCCATTTTGTCCTTGGAGTCCGTGTTTCACAGAGAGGAGAGGGCATACATGTAGTGGAAACGTCGTAACCGAGAATCCGGATCGTGGAGGGATCCTATTGGCTGAAAGCCCGAAGCACAACTGTTTTCCTTTTTTTACATTCCTTGTAGGACTAGTCCTAAAGTCGACGCTACAAGGATGAGTCTAACGAAGACACTGAAAAACCTAGTTTTTTTTCTGAGGACTCATACTTGGAGCATGAGGACGTGCTGAGGAGCGTCCAACGAGGCCCCTGGCCCAAAAGGCCATACTGTGAGTATGGCCTTAGTAAAAAAGGACACAAAACTTGAAGGTAGCAATAACTGCAAGTGGTTCATGACGCACGAGCAGTCATTAATGAAATGAATAAAGTACGATAAACAAGAAATGGCACTCTCAATTGGGGACCGATTTGACTGCATGTGGCCGTAATCGAGGTCACATTCTTCCGGCAGCATTTAGGATTAGTTTACATGTCAGTATTCCCTCAGAATTTAGAACCGGAATGCGGAAAACATCTAGGAAAAGGAGTGTTCTCGTATCCCATTAGCCATCAGGAGCCCCCAGTGGCTCATATCATTCACGCACCACCTGTCAAACAATGGCTGCACAGCAGAAGAAGGCAACACGACCCTCACAGCTCAGATTTATGTGTAGTCTTCTCGGACAACGAACAAGAAGATATGTTACACTGCCTTGTGAGACGCAGAGAGGCTACTGAGTACAGGGCTAGAGCCACCAATCTTTTGGGAATGCCTCTTTGGATCATACGGAAGGAGAGATGCAAGAGAACTGTGGACGGCTCCAAAAATTCACGGGACAGCGTACGGGCATGCACCAAGACACTGATTCAAGCGGAGATCCTCTGCAAGTGGCAAAAAGTTAAACCACCAGTACTTCCTGAAGTATTTCCCGTTAACAAGCCACGATTTAGGAAACGTACGGGCCACTACAGGAGCGCCCAAATTCATCCGACTAGAAACGTTTCTACTCTTTTTTTTTTTTCTTCGGCCGGTAGCTGGGCCAAGTACTGGCGGTTTAAGCTCTCTACGCCGGAAAATCCGGACCTGCAACAAAGATTCAGGGCTAAGTTCAAGAAAGTATGGTTGGTAAGCAAGCTGGCGGACATAAATGGCACCAGCCTCAGATGGGAAGACTGGCACAATTCCGACGCAGGGCTCAGGATGCAGACAACCCAACAACCAGATCCCCAAGACCCTAGCCAGGCTACTTAATCTGAATACGAGACAGCAAGAAGCTGGATGTGCCGAATATCAGTCGGTGGTCAGCATCAACAGCAGCTCTAACAGAACTCCGCGATGTTCAGCGGAGGGTAGTTTATATTTGGTTGTACTCGTCAACTTCCATCATCTGGATTCAAAATTTCAAACTCGGGTCTGTATCTCAACAGTTCATGGGTGTAGCCACTGAGCTAGACTCTTCGGTCGGAGGGTAGTTGATACCCACACCCCTCCTGTGTTTCTTGGAATCATGCAATGACTTGCTGAGTCTGCAGCCTGCAAGCCGTCGACCTGAGGCTGTAACATAGATAGGTTAGATTCGCAAATTTGTTTGGCTGAGGGCTAACTGAGAGATCTACCTGTGGGGGAAATTTGTGAGGGACATATCTGTAAATTCAGGAAAATTGCAGGCCCGCACTAACTTGAATTTCCTACAGCTACCCTAACTGCGAATAGCAGATCCGGGCTACCACTAGGGCAAAAGGGCCTACGGGCCTGTGCTGCTAGACTGGTCCTATAGCCTATAGCCGGGTGGGGAGAGGCCCTAGAGGCCGAAACCAAAATGGTACCGGTCAGACCAGTCAGTCCGGTCTAGGTCGTGTCTAGGCTAGGGTAGACTATGAATAGGATTAGAGAAGTGTGTTCGAGGCTTTTGGCAGTTGGTACCAAGTACATTTGTGGTTGTGCAACGTGTGAACTGAGGTGGTACAGCTTCAGCGTTAGAGGAGATAGACATAGCCGGACCTTCGAAGCGTCGTCCATAGCTGGGACCTGCGCTGTTCTCTGACAGCACGAGGGGCTGTTCAGAGGTTCGGGCTAGTTGGAGTCTGGTGGGAGCAGAGGAAGTTGGTGCCATGCTGAACCCTCCTCTGGAGTAGGGTTTCGGGTAGTGGCGCAGCAGCCATAGCTGCAGCTTGTATCCTCAGAGATCATCGTTGTCAGAAGAGGTGGCGCTGCTGAAGATCTTCAACAGAGACGCCTTCTGACACTTCATCATCATCAGAGACTGTGGCGCTGGTCTTCTTCGTCACCCTCTGAGAGGCGCTTGGCCTCAGAGGCCTGTTTCAGGGTGGCGCTTCCCTCTGGAAGCAGTAATTGGGTGGCGCTGGCTGTTTCAGGGACTCAGGGGTAGTGATAGCGGCTGTTCAGGGTCGGGGGAAGGAGCGCTGCTCATTTCTGAGCAGCACATCACAGTTCTGGAGTTGTTCTGACAATTCGAGACTCTTAGTTTAATAAACAGTGTTAATACTGTGTGTGAACTATCTTTGCTTCATTGTTTTCTGGATGTGATCTACTCGGCTTTCCTTTGTGACTGGTTGTGGGGATTCTGTGGAGCGAATTGCACTTTCACTGCACTCTGTCATACCGCACGGTCAAGTCTTCCGCTGTGTTCCTTTCTCCCTGTGCGGTGTGATACTCCCATCCTCTCCCCTTCCTTCTGTATATGTATGGGCATACCTGGAAGTCTATGTGAGTGAGTGTTGGTCATCTGGCAACAAGCAATCAGGTTCATAACAATCAAGTCAATTTGGTAGGTTCTGTGAGCCAAACCTGAGAGGAAACATACAGGGAAGACAGGCTGACAGTCAATCCTCCAAGCAATAGGAGCAATCAATGCCGCTCACAGGTTCTTCGGTCAAACGGAAGGAAGCATGTGTGTGTCATTTTTTTTTTATCTCTGACTTGCCGGTGGAATAGGAACCGGACTGACGCTCCCCAGAATCGAAAAAATGGAGCCAGGACCATGAGGACCTGTTTTATTATTAAAAAAAAAAAAGGAAGATTAAGTGTTCTCGGAGTCCCACTAAGCGGTGGGCTTAACAACGTTGACTCAATCCTGTCCACTCGTGGGATCGCATGTTAGTTATGGGTGGAGAAAACCAGTGGCTAGAATGCTGTGCAATGCACAGATCTGTAACTCATTGTCGATGCTTTCTGCGCCCAAGAGGCAGCTAAGTGATTTGTACCTCAATACAGGATTGTCCGAACACCAAAGCATCCTGTGCTCGAAATTTGACGAAAACCCACAAAATAATAAATCACAAACGAAAACACAAGACAGGCCGAGCAAGGATGGTTTCCTAAAGCAAAATTTGAGGGGATAGTTGCCAAACAAACAGGAGCTAAAAACAGGGACAGTTTAAAAGTTAAAACATATAAATGGACTAGGGGCTGGGTGACTCGCCTGGCGGGGCGTGTAAAAGTCCAGGGTGACTCGCCCCGGGGGCCGTGGTAAAAGTCACGGGCGACTCCCCAGAGGGGTTCTGCCACCCAGGTCACCCGGGCATGTAAGAGGTCCAGGACTTATTTCCTGTTCTTACAAGTGTTTCCACCCTCACTGAGAGAAGCCAAAGTCTGGGCTTTTCTTCGTTTTCCAGTTCTATATGTCCAGAGGGATGGGCGGGGGGCAGGACAGGGTGGACCGGGGATATAAATGCCCGGTACCACACACCCGGATATGAGTGTGGTTACTGTTTCTCTGAATTATCCGGCTGGGCAAAACCAACCGGATATTTCCGGGAAACGACTTTC